CAGTCACCACGCACTTAGGAATTTTCTAAATATAAAATAAGTGGGTCTATAAAAATGCTTATCAGACAAATAATTATCTCTTCATAACCTAGAAAGAAGAATTATTTTTGTGATGATGACATAATTTTTAGGGTACTGGATGCCTTGATGTTCCAAGTTTGATGCAATATAAAAAGCAAAAATCTACCTCTCCAGTGGATACAACCTGCACCTGACTGAAAGCATGATAACAGTGACTTACAGCAATCAGCCACGCAAAGGCAAAGAATAAAATCTGCTTTTTAAACAGCACAAGTTTTCCACCTTAGACAAATTAAGCACTGGTTCCATCTTCTTCAATAACCCGATTCATGCTGGTGCCATGTGTGATGTGAGTCATGGGATTATTACTGAGATCTCTGATGCTGCTATGTCGCGACTGTTCATTGAGCCGGTGAGAACTACTATGCCTGGAGTGATCCGTTAGTCGTGACATGCTGCCATGAGGTAGTCTCTCCTCCATTCCTCTGTAACTGCAGGGAGTATACCTGATATAGGAGAGTTTATTTTGAAGTGGGTAACAGAGCAGACTAGAAAATAACACTAATAATTTTCATGAAAATGCCTCAGTAAGTGAAATGATTAAGAAACCAACAATAAGAAAGTAATAACCAACTTTTGATTATTTAGAGAAATTCCATTATCACTGTATAATTATTGACATGGCTAACAAGAAAAAGGAGATAATCTACTCAGGCTCAGAATTAAGGTCCTATTCCCTGCAAAAGGACAAAAGCTAAGGTTAAGTAATGTTGGGTTACTCCATTAAGTATGGGTACTTTTCTCTTTTGAATGAGTTTTGAACATGGAGTGGGTTCACAGAGAAGAACACAATAGAAGAAACATGTCATTGCCCCTGGAAGTCTAGAAGATTGGTTATAATTAATAGTAAAGGAAACTCAAATTTTACTAAAAGACTAGTACTGGAAGAGGGAATATGAGAAATCAGAGAGAAATTAGTGTCACCTAAAAAAAAAATAAGTGAATGAATTGGCAAGTAATGATTAAGGTGTGTGCTGACAGCTTCTTTCCAGATAGCCCAGTTAACTGCTGAATGAATTACCTGTAAGTGATCTTAATTTCTTTTCATTGGGGCTTGAGGCTGTGAAGATGCTCTTTCATAGAAGCTGCATCACTTGGAAGTTACATCCTAACACTTTGTCACCTATACTCCTGCTAAAGCAAATTCTGTTACCTCTAGCCCAAGACCCAGCTTGAGTATGCCAGCTGGGCTACACTGCTTATTGAAGGCAATCTCCTCCATCACTGTACTTATCTTGAAAAAGGCAGCAGTGGTGGCTGTTAAATATTCTTTTGTTGCAATCCTGACTCACTAAGCCCCATCAGAAGAAAGAACATATAAAAAAATTAAGCTCTAAGCCAGTCAAAGTCATGAAAAAAAATTACAATTTTTTTATTAGTCCTTTGAAAAAAAAAAAGAATGAAAAGATGCATATTTAAATATTTTTAAAATGTCTCATGCTAATGGGTAACAGAGTATTTAATTCTTATTTATTAAATATTAAAAGACATATCAAATTTAGGACCTGAACGGTTTTAAATTTGTCCTGCATGTTTTGGTAAAATAATTACAATGTTCGCAAATGAAAATATTTCAGAATGAGCTTGTTATTCAAATTTAATAATTATTATTTTGCATTGTAATTATCACCCTAAAACTGAGGGGAAGACTTTCCCAAATATGATTTGCCAGCTGTTTTGGAGATCTTTCACCTCTCAATGGTTTCATAAGTATCTATTTTAAACAAATACAGCAAATGAAAAAGTAAAATATGATGCAGTGTTCCAGTAATGATATAAAATTAATTAAATTTTAAAAACCTTAAAAAATATAAACTGTATTTTCTAAGACAAAATCTAAGCGTTTGAGTTATAAATGAGATTCAAAGAATACATTTTTCATAGAAAAATTACTATATTGAATAATTATGTCTAATTATTTAAATGACATATATGGCTACTTACAAAAAATTCTAGAATATAAGCTTAGGCAAAACAACTAGAATGGTTAATTTGCTGCTGTTGTTAAAAAAGATAACATGCATTCCAAAGTCAAAATGAAAAAGACTTGAACATGATTTACTCTTTTTGATTCTCCACACTATTTGCTACCATTAATCTGAGTAAATGAATTAACCATAGTTTCACTAGTATCTCATTATTCATTCCCTAGCCTTCCCTTGTAAGGTCACTTACTTACCAACCTAATCGCTCATTCCCAAACCTCCACCTACCTACTCTTTCTTTTCTACCCATCCTCTCATCTAACTACCAATTACTTATTCTTTGAAGTTGACATACATGTGTAGGTGTATTTACTTAAGCCTGTTTTATTTCACATAGTGCAGAGATTGATAATTATCCATCAGGGAGTCAGGACCAGAGTATTGGGAAGTGGGTGTGTGTGTGATCTCATGGCCAAGACACCATGAGATGATGACAGGATGGCCAAAGACAGTGTTACTATGCAAAGTTAAAAATGGACTGAAGCAGAAAGAAATCTCCATGAGATGGCTTTTGGAATTATGAAAATCCTTGTACAGATTTTTAGGTTCAATGTGGTCTTGGAATCTCTCAAATGTGCCCTGAAGTTCTGGGTGTGGCAGAGGGTCCTACAGTGTGAGTATTCATGTGTCACATTACGGAAGACCTTTAGTAGGCTGACGTCATAGCTCTGGGCCCTGGATTTCTAGGAAATGCCCACATTCTTTCTGAAGTTGTTATTTATTTGATAGATTTGTTCCTCCCTGTCTCCTACTGTACATATGCCTCCACTCTGCTGGATACTACAGAGGAATACAGAGATGTATGTCTCCTAGCTCTCTTCTCCAGAAGCTGCAAACTTAACTGATGAAAGTCAACTGTACTGAAAACAGTGATACAGGTAAAAAGCAATAAATTAACTGTCATGGAAAATGGGATTACGTAGGTCTTAAAGGATGGGTACAATTTTCAGAGGAATACAGAGATGTATGTCTCCTAGCTCTCTTCTCCAGAAGCTGCAAACTTAACTGACGAAAGTCAACTGTACTGAAAACAGTGATACAGGTAAAAAGCAATAAATTAACTGTCATGGAAAATGGGATTACATAGGTCTTAAAGGATGGGTACAATTTTGATTAAACAGAGGTAGGAAAGGCCATGACAAGAAGTCATTATCTAGCCTCTGGTTTTCATGACACTATACTTTTACAGATTCCCTCATATGTCTATACTCACTTTCTCTGAATCAAATGCCCATCGTTTTCTTCCTGTATTATTATCATTATAAATACTTAGCAAGGTCTTGTTCTTGTTCTGTTCTTTTTCTATTGTGATTTGAGGGATTCTACCCCACAATTTTAATTACCAAGTACCTTATACTGATGATTATAAACTTCCTTATCTGAGCTCTAGTTCCATTCCGATCACGTTGGCTGAAATCTATCTTTCACTGCCCTCAGAAATTCTCTATTCAATATGAACTTACCACTTATCAAATTACCACTCATTCACCCTATTCACCTTGTCTAAGATATTTCCATGGACCAATCTTATCTTTCTCTTTCCTGAAGTTCTACAACATCTATCATCTCCAACACTGTTTTAATTATATCCCGACTTGTGCTATTATTTAATTGGTACATATGTGTATGTCCTATCTTTGTTACAAGGTTACATGCTCCTAGAAGGCAGAAATTACACCTTACCTTTCTTCTACATATTTATCTACATGTATAGGAGTTCTACTATAAATAACTTTCATTTGTCATTGAAAAGAATGAAACCAATAATGTCAAACATTAAATAATGCTGAGAATTCAGGGAGGGTGGTGATTGATAAAATATATTCTAAAAGACTCCCTAATTCCCTTCCTCTTTATCAGTATCTTAAGTTAGGACTCTTAAATTACTGTAGAAACTTCCTAACTGGTCTTACTGACAATCTCCTTCTTCCATCTGTTGTTGCCAAGTGATTTTTCTAAAATAAAAATCTGATTTTATCACCACAATGGCCAAAGTCCTGTAAAAGTTTCTTACTGCTGTCAGGAAAACTCCTCAGCTTGGTTTCATCTTCTACAGTTGCCCAAACATACATGCTATGCTTGAGCTGTACATACCAAGGTATCTAACTGCCCGCTTGTCCTCATCTCCGCATATGCTGTTTCATTGTCTTTAATTCCCAACTGCCTCCTCTGAATCCTATTCAAAGAAGTGCCATCTCCTCTGTGACCTTTTCTCTCACTTTCTGTGATGTTAGTTGGTTTTCTTCTCTGGGATCCCAAAGTACCCTGTACATATTTTTATTATACCCATGGAAGTGTATTATAATTGATTGTCTACTCTTCTGCCTTCTATCTCTGCATCCCTAGCACTTAGAAGAATGCTTCTGATACAGGAGCGCTAAGTGGAAGGAAAGAAGGCAAGACGGAGAAAGGATCTTTGAATGTGGTTAAAAAGAGGTCATTGGTGATGGCAGAGGGTACAGTTTAGGTAGGGAGGGACGAGAAAAAGGCTAGATTTACAGGTGATGAAGGATGGAATAGGTCCTTCACCACATATATTCAAAATACTCATTTCAAAAGTTGGCAAGGAAAGGAACAAGAAATGGATAAAAGATAGAAGACACATCAGAGTCAAAAAAAGACTGCTGCTTTTTGAAACACAGGTCAGCTCTTCCTCTTCCCACTGCCAGTACTCACAGAATGCCCCCAATTTTTTTAGATATTAGAATTTTCATTCTTTCAATTTGTCAAACTAGAAATCTAAAAAACAAAAAGAAAAAAAGAAAAAAAAGAAAGAAAATCTTTAGTGCATTCCTTCTCTTCAGCTGTTAATATTAACCTATCATCAACTCCTATCATTTCTTTTTTCTAAATATCTTCCAGGTCAGCTCTTCCTCTTCCCACTGCCAGTACTCTATAAACCTTTATCATCTCCTGACTGAGTTACCGCAAAGCTCCTAAGCAGTTTAACCTACAGCCAGACTTCTTTCAAACATTCTCTCTGTGAAACTTTTTCAGAAACTGTCCCCACTCTGAAAATTAATCACTTCCTCCTCGATGCTACCTAGTAAATGGGGGCTGGGAAAACTAGGGACTGATGGCCAAATCTGGCCCCCTGCTATTTTTGTAAATAAAGTTTTATTAGAACACAGCCATTCCCATTTGACCACATATTGTCTATGGCTGCTTTCATACAACAACAGAATTGAATAGTTGCAACAGAGACTATAAAACTCATAAAGCATAAAATATTTACTGTCTAGCTCTTTATGGAAAAAGTCTGCCAACCCCTGGCATATACACTATCATACTTACATTTTATTTTAACTGCTCATTTCCAATAATAACAGAAGCTGATATCAGGTACTGTTGCAAGTAATTAGATATGTTATCTCATTTAATTTTTACAATGTTATTAAAGAGGCAAATATTATTATTTCCATTTTACAGATGAGAAAACTGAGGCTTATCATTCCAGACCCACATTCTTAACCATAGCACTATCTTTCTAAATAGACTGTGAGATTATCAAGAGCAAAGATCACGCCTAAGTCACTTTTGTATTCCCAGGGCCTAGCAAAGTGCCTGATATATAAGTATTCCATAACTCTTTGCTGAATTAATCTTACTAAAATAACAGCTTTCACCCTGCTCAATCCCCTACAATGACTCCATATTGCTTACTGCATCAAGTCTACATTTTAAACTCCTCTGACTGGCTTTAAGTCTAACCATAATCTGGGACAACTCTATCCAGCAGATCAAAATGCTTAATAATGTTCAACTTCTATTACAGAATTAAGTCTACATTTTAAACTCCTCTGACTGGCTTTAAGTCTAACCATAATCTGGGACAACTCTATTCAGCAGATCAAAATGCTTAATAATGTTCAACTTCTATTACAGAATTAGCTACTCTTTTTCTAAAGCTGTATGGCCATAATTCAGCATACGAAGTAAACTAAGCTACTAAAAAACTCACCTGCCATCACGTGACCTGTGGAGGCTGCCGTGGTAGCTGCTCACTTTGCTGTGGACACTCCCTGCTTTGCTTCTTTGATCATCCACCATTGCCAGCTGAGTTGAAGAAGCATGTGTGGACGTTCCTTGAGTGGAAGTTCCCCTTGATTTTCTTATAATTGGAGTATTTGGATCCCTCAGGAGAGACTGAGCAAAATCAGGCTCCTGGAGGACCTGTCGACTCTCATTCACTACCCTAGACAACAAAATAGCATGTTTAAAATACAGACTAGCACAGGAAGTAACTGGATTAGGGACATAAAAAGTAATTACGATCTGTAATGGTGAACATGCTACTAATATTGATTTCATCAAATACTGTTCACAAATACTGACAGTCAACTCTGTACCCCATAAATAAGTACAAATAAAAAAATACAGATAAGCACCCCATAGACCAATACCCAATACTTCTGTGCAATATTGATGTCATTCTTAAAATTAATTGCTCTTCAAATTAGGTCTTTAGGACCTATATAAGGTAACATTGTTGACAGAGGAAAGAATGTACCAAAAATCCATGTCAACCCCTAAGATGGTATGATGGAAAGAGTTATGGGTAAGAATAAGGAAATCAGGATTAAAAAAAAATTTTTTTTTATTAAAAAGATGACCGGTAAGGGGATCTTAACCCTTGACTTGGTGTTGTCAGCACCACGCTCTTCCAAGTGAGCTAACCGGCCATCCCTATATAGGGATCCGAACCCGTGGCCTTGGTGTTATCAGCACCACACTCTCCCAAGTGAGCCACGGGCTGGCCCAGGAAATCAGGATCTTTAGTTCCAACTCAATCAATAAACATGTGATTTTAGACAAGTCACTATCCCCTCTTTCCTCCATTTTCCTCACCTATAAAATGAAGACATATGATTTTATCATTTCTAAAAGGTCCCTTTCAGCTAAAGAAATATATGATTCTCAACGCACTGAAATATTACAAAGACATAACTACAAAATAGAAAAATTGTTTTCTTGCATGGTCTATGGATGTAGTAGAGGCCTTATTGTAGCATGGATACAACATTTTTTAACTTGTAAGAGCAGTTGTTTTAAGACTACAAGTTGATTTTATGGCAGAAGCAGTTGCTTAGTGCTGGAATAAACATGAGTGGTCAGAATTAGAACAAAATAATATGAAAAATTAATTTAAGCAAACATACAATTAAGTTCCAGACCTATTAAAAGCTTAGGAGGAAAGTTTTAATGGGATAAATTACTGTTAAGAGCAAAAGTTTTTAACTGCTATGAAAGGGCTTAAGGCAGATAGATATTTATAATGATGAACAAAGCAGTAATTAAATTAATAAAAGAGCTAATTATTTGGATCCCCATACCAGCCAGCCACCAAAAAAAAAAAAAAAAAAAGAGCTAATTAAACAGTTGTGACAACCAGTGTCTTGGTTTATGTAAATAAATACTCACTATGAAAATCAGAGTTAAAGTTAAAATTAGAAGATAAACAATTTCACTGAAAAAAATAAATGTCCAAAATGAAAAGACTGAATCATATATTGAGAAAATAAATATATCCTAAGTTCTAAAATTACAAAAGCATTGTTATTATTGCTGTTGCTTTTAGTGCTGGGGTAGAAGGGCTGAAGGAAGACTAATATTTGTTGAGTACTTTACATACATTCTCCTTTGATCCTCTTAATAATATTGTTATTATAGAGATTAATGTCCTAGGAAGATATTTCTAAAGATATTATATATATATTAATAATAGATATAGTGATCCCCATTTTATAGATGAAGAAACTGAGGTCCTAAGAGATTAAAGAACTTCAGAAAAATCATAACAACAAAAGCAACAGTCAAGGATCAAACTTAAGCTTAAAAGTCTTAGAAACCATTCGCAAAGTAATGATAAAACAGTATTTACATACATCCTGAAAACAAAATGTCAAAAACTAGACAGAAGAAAGAATAAGTCAAAAATAGTAAAAAAAAAAAAAAAAAAAAAAAAAAAAAAAAAAAAAAAAAAAAAAATACACACACACACATGCGAGTGCACGCATGCATACACACAACAGATTTGTTCCTCTTTCATCAATGTCCTTGTTCGTATACGCTTATATCCCAACATTGGTTCAAACTGACTTCTGATTGCTCCAAAAATTTATCTGCAAATGGTGAAGGTTTGCCCACTCATTTTACAGGTAATTTCCAGAGAAATTAAGTGATATGACCCAGGTAATTCCAAGTGGTGATGGAGTTTGGTTGTGTTGACCCCTCTAAAACTCATGTGGAAATTTGATCCCCAATGTGGCAGTGTTGGAAACTGATTGAGTCATGGGAGCGGATCCCTCATGAATGGATTAATGCTCTCCCTGGGGGAGGGGGGATTAATTAATGAGTTCTTGCTCTATTAGTTCCCTCGAGAGCTCGTTGCTTAAAAAGACCCTGGCACCTCCCCTCTCTCTGTTGCCTCCTCTCTCTTGCTTCCTCTCGCCATGTGATCTGCTTGTACCCGCCGGCTGCCTGCCACTT